GGTACACTTCAACTTGAGAGACAAAATGAGAAAAATAAATCCAGGAAATCACATTGTAGGATTTTTAAAGACTTTATTTGTAAATTATGGTGGAAAATAAGTATTTGATCAATAACAAAAGCTCAACTCAATACTTTGTAACATAACCTTTGTTGGCAATGACAGAGGTCAAACGTTTCCTGTAGGTCTTCACCAGGTTTGCACACACTGTGGCTGGTATTTTGGCCCATTCCTCAATGCAGATCTCCTCTAAAGCAGTGATGTTTCGGGGCTGTCGTTGGACAACACGGACTATCAACTCCCTCCACAAATTTTCTATGGGGTTGAGGTCTGGAGACTGGCTAGGCCACTCCAGGACTTTGAAATGCTTTTTACGGAGCCAATCCTTCATTGCCCGGGCGGTGTGTTTGGGATCATTGTCATGCTGGAAGATCCAGCCACGTTTCATCTTCAAGGCTCTCACTGATGGAAGGAGGTTTTGGCTTAAAATCTCATGATACATGGCCCCGTCCATTCTTCCCTCAACACGGATCAGTTTTCCTGTCACCTTTGCAGGAACAGCCCCAAAGCATGATGTTTCCTCCCCCATGCTTCACAGTAGGTATGGTGTTCTTGGAATGCAACTCTGCATTCTTCTTCCTCCAAACACAACAAGTTGAGTTTTTACCAAAAAGTTCTATTTTGACCACGTGATATTCTCCCAATCCTCTTCTGGATCATCCATATGCTCTCTGGCAAACTTCAGACGGGCCTGGACATGTACTGGCTTAAGCAGGGGGACACGCCTGGCACTGCAGGATTAGAGTCCCTCTCGGTGTAGTGTGTTACTTATAGTAGCCTTTGTTACTTTGGTCCCAGCTCTCTGCAGGTCCCTCCGTGTAGTTCTGGGATTTTTGTTCACTGTCCGCATGATCATTTTGACACCACGGGATGAGATCTTGCGTGGAGCCCCAGATTGAGGGAGATTATCAGTGGTCTTGTATGTCTTCCATTTTCGTACAATTGCTCCCACCGTTGATTTTTTTTCACATCAAGCTGCTTGCCTATTGTAGATTCACTCTTCCCAGCCTGGAGCAGGTCTAAAACTGGTGTCCTTCGACAGCTCTTTGGTCTTGGCCATGGTTGAGTTTGGAGTGTGACTGTTTGAGGCTGTGGACAGGTGTCTTTTATACAGATAACGGGTTCAAACAGGTGCCAATAATAAAGGTAACAAGTGGAGGACAGAAGAGCTCTTTGAGAGCCAGAAATCTTGCTGGTTTGTGGGTGACCAAATACTTATTTTCCACCATAATTTACAAATAATTTCTTTAAAAATCCTACAATGTGATTTCCTGGATTTTTTTTTCTCATTTTGTCTCTCATAGTTGAAGTGTACCTATGATGAAAATTGCAGACCTCTCTCATTATTGTAGTAAGAGAACTTGCACAATCAGTGGCTGACTAAATACTTTTTGGCCCCACTGTGTGTGTGTGTATATATATATATATATACAGGGGTGTAAAGTAACGAATTACAAATACTCACGTTACTGTAATTAAGTAGTTTTTTTCAGTAATTGTACTTTTTTGAGTACGTTTAAAATTGTGTAATTTTACTTTTACTTGAGTACGTTTTAAGTGATGTATCGGTACTTTTTCTCCGCTATTTTCCTTCTGTTTGTGGCCGTTACTCGTTACATGCTTGTTTTAATTTTATTTTTATCCATCAACGTGATTGGATCGAGTAATCGGTCTCGTGACTGTCATCAATTCAAATTAAGCATAGAAAACTTACCGCCTATTCCTGCTGTTACTCGTGACTGACTGCTGTGGAAGTGCATTCATCAAGCATCAATTCAATCCAGATATCAGCGTCTTCCTCTAATATGCTAAGGTATATTTCACATTTCTGCTTAATATGATATTTATATAGGCTGGCCTGTCTACATGGCCTAACATTTGGTCTGAGGTTGGGGGAATTGCGAGACGAGTTCATAATGCGGTGAATTCCCGCTTCCATTTACTTCACAATCGAATGACGCGCGTCACGATCTGTGCACTGCCGCGTCTCGCGCTCGCCATGCCGCCAGATTCAGAATCAGTGCACCATGTCGTTAACTTGAACTGCATTACTTAATAAGAAATTAGCACAGCTCGTTAATAAACAGCGTTTTTTGATTGATCCATTATATGATCCGTCTGCAGGTGCCAAGTGCACTTGCGCAAAAACATTTTTCATGCTGAACTGTTTTTTTTTTTTGTGGATGCTTCAGAGACTTCAGAGACAAAGTGTGTTTGTTTCTTTTGTAAAAGTTTCCTGGATATAACTTCCCTATTTAATGCACAATTTTCCTTACAAATTATATTATCAGCATTACAATGTGAGTAAATGTAGCCGTGTAAAATGTAAAGGATGATGCCACCCGTCTAGAACAATGTGCATTTACGTTTAAATTGTAACATATTTAATAGCATATAATAAAAGTGTGTAATTAGTGTTAGCTCACTATCTTAGCCTTTTTCAGTGCATTAGTTGAGGTAATATGATAATATTAGTGATTCTCATTTATCAAAACACTAACACTGGTACCGTTTTGGAGAGAAATTGGGTATTTTTTTATTTTATTTAACCCATCTCTTGGTGTGTGATGCTGAACTATCATATGAGTTTCTAAAGGTTTTTGAATTCTTTGCACAGTTATGAATATTGATATTTTATGTGCAACAATAACATGCTCAGGCCCAGTGGCTTTTCGCCTAATTTTAAATGCTTTTCCCCCCAAATAATATGATTTAAATGGTGATGAGTGTACTGATTTTATGCATTTTAAAAAGATGGATGATAGATATTCTTCAATCTTTCTTACAAAGAACAAAATATAATGTGAATTCCAGTATGTGCATTTTTTTTTATTTATAAATTGTAGTGCACAGTGTTTATTATAAGGGTAAGAATTCCGCACCTCACTCACTACTCACTACTCTTGAGTACTTTTAAATAAGCTACTTTTTTACTCTTACTCAAGTAGTTTTTTGGACAAGTACTTTTTACTCTACTCACACTACATTTTTTGGAATGTAATGGTACTTTTACTTGAGTATGTTTTTTCAGTACTCTTTCCACCACTGTATATATATATATATATATATATATAGTGTTGTAACGTTGAGGAGGCAGGGAGGAATCCAAATGCAGAAAGCAGTATTTAATAATAATAATAAACAAAACAAAAAGGGAAATCCACGGAGAACAAAAAACTTGGAAACAGGAACTCAGAACAAAACTCAGAAACAAGAACTCGAAACAACGCTACAGTGAAACATCGACCGACACCCAACAACTGAAACACAGGGGTTTAAATACACAGACAAACAAGCTAAATGAGGGAACAAGGGGGTGTGGTAAATCAGAAACACCTGGGGAAACTTATAAACAAGAAAAAACTACAAAGGACTACAAAACATGGCACAGAAACAGGAAATAACTAAAGTCCACACAAGACAAGGAAAACACAAGACAGGAATCGTGACAAGTGTGGCCACACACACACACACACACACACACACACATATACTGTATATATATATATATATATATATATATATATATATATATATATATATATATATATATATTGATTTAATTTACAGGATCTTCATAAATATAATAAAAACATAAAAAAGCAAAAACACACCCATTGCACATTATATTTGAATCATTTTGTTTAAAAAAATCTTTGTGAACATCTTGTAGAAAGGGTAGGCCTACATCAACATTTTGCTTTGATCAAAGTGACTTGAATGCACCCGACATCGTAATTATGACTTCCCCACTTCAACAGCAAACATCAACACACTTTCTGACAAACATCAACACACTTTCATGAACTCATACCTGATTGAGTTTTCATCATAGATCTTCTCAGTTCCCCTATTTCAGCTCTGTGTTTGTTTTTCTCCAGTTCTACTCGAGCCTGAAGGTACATGAAGGTGGTGTAGCAACTTCCTCTGTTCTCTTCTACCATGTTGTCCACATCCTGAAGTAGAGCGGGAACCTGCGAGCTGTTCTCCAGGACAAAACGATGACCTCCAAATGTTTTAAGAGACGTCTCAGTAGCTGAAGTATTACATAGACTTTTACTACCAATCAGTTTACTAATCATGCTCTTCTCTTGGATAATGAGAACCATGAGGTGGTTTTTGATGCTTGAGCCGAATATCCTCTGGATCTCCTCCATTTCTGCTTTGTCTTCATCAGTCAGTGGAGCATCAGGAACAATGAAGAGGAAAACATGAACTCCAGGATCACAGAGAGACACACAGCGGAGAGTATTACGCATCACTTCCTCCTCTGAGAGCCGATTGACAGCTGGAAGCTTCACCAGACTGACCACACGTCCATGAAGCTCCAGGTTTCTCCTCACACACTCTTTCTCTTTCAGGTGTAAGGGGGGAAAAAACTTATTTTTTCCTCTTATAAGTCTTGATACGGAGGCCTTCAGTCTTCCATCACTTCCACATAACACAACACACAACTTCTTTTTTCTGCTCACGCGTACATTTCCTTAAACCACAACAACAAAATAGGTTACTGCAGCATTTTCAGATGTATTATTATTATTATTATGGTGCCTTTAGGTAACTAAAGTAGCCGGGGTTGCGGTGCCACCGGCTTGGGCCCGCCATCGCTGCTCGCAGCTATATTTATTATTATTATTATATTAATTTAGTGTGTTATAAACTTACTCTTTGCTGGATAATGCTCTGGTCTGGTCTCTGGATTACTAACTGTAAAAAAGGGGTAAATACATCAATATATCTATATATCTATAACATTTTCATTGTCTCACTTGTGAGGCCACTTACTTTAAACTCAAATTTGCTCCACATATATCTAGTTTAAGATAGGATACACATTGTAATAAATATATCACGATTCAATACACAATTATGCATCATGGCTGACACTTGAACTGCTTCTTCATAAGTTAAACTGTGATGGTCACATTGTGCTTCTGAAACCACTAGTGAGTTTTGAGTGTATATATAGCTCTGATCTATTAGGAAAAACTAAATCAATCAAATGGCTACATTAAAAAAAGATTGACAAGTTGGACTTCTGCATTACACTGTAAGGAAGATACACTCTTATACACGTATATGAAGCGGGGGCTGGAACTGGAAGAGTGTACTGTAGTCTGTTCTTTGTCATTTATGTCAGGTGTGTATAGGGGCAACCGTCAATACTACTACCACTGTTTTTTGCTATGCACTCTACCAAAGTTAAATATTATACAATGTAAGTCCCTAATATTCAATAACCCTGTCTGAATATTTCAAATGTAGGAATACTTACAATATGACATTAGGGGTATATTGCGAATAAACCCTTTTGCTTTCTTTTTCTCAGTACGAGTTTCTAGGTATTTTCCATCATCGTCTGCATCAGACTCTTCGTCTTCCTCCTCCGTTCCGAGTGAAGCAAAGGACCTGTTGTGATCTTCATCTACTGATGATCCTTCTGCGTAATCATAGAGTTCACATGTGAGAAATTCTTCACTGTTTTCTCTGAGAATCTTCTCTATTCGTTGCGATATTATAGAGCACCATTCCTCTGTTGCATGTTCAAGCTGCAGATGTCCTCCTCCACATTCGGCATTTAACTGTTGAATTACTTTTTTAACTGTCACAGGTGCACCTTTAGCGTCGTGCGTATCTTCATCAGTCGTGAGCACAATGGTGCGTTTAATCGCCTCTTCACTGAATTCTCTCAGGACAGTTTTCACTCTGTATCTGTCTTCTTCAGTGATGTCATTGTTTTGTAGTACGAGTATGAAGACATGAGGTCCTGGATCAGACAGATTCACACACTCTCTCACTGTGTGTGTGACGTGATGGAGTGACAGATGTGTCTGGAGCAGCTGAGGACTGTTGATGATGGTCACGTGTATGTCCTTCAGTCTTCCTCCGACTCTCTCCACAACATCTGGAGGAGCTTCACTGTCAAACGCTGCTCGCCCTAATATGAAGTTTCCCACTCCACTGTTTTCTGACACATTCTTGCCCAGCAGAACAATCCTCAGATCACTCACTGAAACACACAAAAAAACATTTAAACATTCAACATAGGAGAACAGCAAATCAGACATCGTAGTAGTGAATTCTACCCTTTAAAGCAACACCAAGTAACTGAGTTTCTCTTGGATTGAAAAAAAATTGGAGTTGGATTTACTTGGAAAAAAGCTAGGCAACTTTTTTCCACTTAGAAAATACTAGTAAATTTACAACGATTTGCCAAATAAAAACCTAAGCATATTTATCAGTAGCTTTAATTAGAAATCTTAAATTAAAATTTACTTGGAATGTGGAATTAAGTAAACTTTACAGAAAATAAGTAATTTTAACTTGGCTAGTGAAAGGTTGATTAATATCTATTTATTTTAAATTTCCTTTGCTTTTGCATTGCATTTCACTTAAATAATAATATTGAATTTTATTAGTCATTTATAGTATGTGCTTTATTTAGATAATTTAAGTAATTTATATCACATCATGTCAGATGTTAAGCCTCATGTGAATGCAAAGACCTCAATACTTGGTAGACAATTACACAATGGCGGTAACATTTGATGGGTCGTTTTTGTGTTTGTGTCATTTTGAGCAAAAAATTTACTCGAAATGTCACAAACTGGCAAGTTACTAATACTGACAACAGAAATCAATGATAAAACAGTGTAAATACAGCTGGAAACCAGTGAAAAATTAGCCTCATTAATTATTCAAGGTCCAGTGCATGATGGGAAGCCCAGTATCAGAAAAGTTGAGTAATTTTTACTTAATTTTATTGAGTTGATATTTACACTTTCAAGTTCTGATATGGAATTTACTTATTTTTTTAAATTCTTGCCTGCACTAACTTTTTCATGTAAATTACATTGTTTTTTTTCAGTAGTATTTACTTTATCAAAAAAATCCTTTTTTACAGTGTACTATAACAAATATGCATCAGCGACACACAGTTAAAGCAGCCAGAGAAAAAGAAATGTTAAAAGCAAAGGGTCAGAGCCCGACTAAAGCAAACATTGATCTCCATCATGGTGACATCAAACTTTATTATTTTCCATAAAAAAATCAACTTCTAAACATCTTTTAATTCTCAGTAAGAATGTTAGTATGCAATAAATAACGTCTGGATTGTAATAAGTGAGGATGCAGCGATCTTGACAGATCTGTTAGTGTTTAATGTTCTGTTGGGATGTAAATTGTTATATGGTGTGTTTTGTGGGTCACCATTGTGTTGAAGAGTAGAGCCTGTGCTTCAGTTCAGGATGAGCAGAGTAACACTGATGAAATGCTGCATGTTGCTTTATTTAACAGACAGTAACTGTGTAGTTGCTGATGCAGTGATGTATAATCACAGTAAATCATGCATCACTTACATTTTTCATAATAAAAAATTCTGGAAATGTGTGAAATAACTGTTTCTGTTAAAAAGCTTAATGCTACTTTTGCACTTATTTAAATTAGGCTATTTTACATTAATTGTATGGTTTTTGTATGGAAGCCATTGCTGACAGTCATTGACTGTTTTTACTACATTTTTTTATGACTTTTTTCAATGAAGGTATTTGATCATAATAATGCATTGTTTTTACAGTTAGAGTGTTTGATCGTAATCATCCAGATAATAGCTGTAAAGTAACAGTGTTTTTCTGTAAAACATTTTAGAAAAATATCTGTAAAATGTTTTTTGCGCTTAATTTAAATTAGGATATTTTACTTTTTATTTTTATTTGATTGGCACCCTTTGCTGCCATTTGACCATTTTTGCGATTTTATTTTTTACAGTGCACTGTTTAAATCCAACATCACAGTTGTTAAGCAAAAGTGAACAAAACATTTGAGTTTGAATTAATATTGTCTATTTTGAAGTGGATAAACTGCCCATTAATTCCACAGAATCTTCATATAATAGTTTATGGTGTTTGAAACTTACTGCTAGGAGGCTCGTCCATGCTCCATCTGCTGCGAACAGGATCACTCACTGAAACAAAAGTCTTACATCACAATTGGCTGTCACCACAATAACACAACTCAAAACAAACATTACATTTGATTTGAATGATTCTACAAGCAGCAATACTGGGCAAAGAAGTGTGAAATGCTGAGATATAGTCTATCAGATTAGAAAACAAAGCCAGTTTAGAGTTTTCTGTGTTATTATGGCATTGTAAAAATCAAAGAACCTAAAAAGAAAACGCATAATAGATAAGCAAAAAAGTAATTTGTCAGTTAACTTTGTTGTGATTAATGACACGAACTTGCGGTAGCAGGAAACGTTAGTGTATAAAGTCGGTGTTAGTGTAATTAAACAACACAAGCCTTCACCACAGCAGTAAACAACTTTACAGAAACAAAATAATTTAGTGGTTAAGTGAGAACATCCGTGGTCAATAAGAGTTAACTCTGGTGGATAAGTGAAGAAACATTACACATATCTCGATTAGCTAAAGTCAAAGCTTACACGCACTGAATGCCATGTCACCAGCTCCGTTAGGTCGTGTTTCTGATCCGAAAGTATGTAAACCGAGAAGAAAAACTCTCCTGCGCCCTCATGCGGAGAATTTAAAAAACGCGGACAGATTCTGCACCTGTCAAAGCAAATCACTCTCATTTTGCTTTCTGCCTGATCTACTAAACACCAATTATGTCAACTGAAATATAAAACATTTAGCCTATAACATAAACGGTGAAACCAAAAGCTTCAGTAACACTTTACAATCCCATTAATTAACATTATTTTTCGAATGCATTAACTAACGTGAACTAACAACACTGTAAAAAAATATTGATGCTTTAACTTAAAAAAGTAAGTAACCTGGTTGCCTTAAAATTTTAAGTTGATTGAACTGGAAAAAGTGAGTTAATACAATGAATGAGATTAATTTAACCATCAGAAACTCAAAATAATAAGTTATCTCAACTAAATAAATTATTATAAAGTTGATTTGACAAAAGAAAATATGTTGTGATAACAAATCTTGAAAATATTTTTTACAGTGTGTAAACATGTTACGAAGCCGTTTAGTTTGTATTTTCACTTTCTTTTCACTCAAGTTTTTTTTCTGCTGTTCTTTCTTTCTTTCTTTCTGTAACTCTCAAATGGATGTAAATATGAGTGAGACGGAAACACAGAAAGAATAAACTGCAGTGAGTTCTGACACAACATCAAGATAGGCTACATGAACAACATGGTTCTTTTTTGGCAAGAATATACCCAAGAAAAAAAAAAGTATGATTATTTTAATGTAAAATTTGGTAACACTAAATCATTAATCTTTCTTAATTTCAACATTTATGAATACATTATGAAAATCAAAAGTCATATTTTTATAATTAATGGAGGGACATGAGCTAACATGAACTAAAAACGAACTGTTAACAAACTGTTAATAAATACTGTAACATTGCTCGTTAGAAATGAAAAAAAAATTACGGGTACTATTGTGATCGTTGGGATTAAATGGGTTAATTAATCAATTAATAACCAATATTGAATGTTCACAGGATGAATTGGTTGTAATGTTAATGTAGCTACATCAAGTTAACCCCATTAACTGATGCAAATATTCATAATCAATTATAACAAGTTATGTGTCGCGGTAATGCATTTATTTTTCTTTGCAATTAACAATTAAATCACAAACAGTTTGTTATGTTGACCTCAGTTTAGTTGAGACCCACTTTGATTAATTCTGTTGTTACTTTTTTCTAATGATTTCAAACTTTGTTTTATTTGTAGACTAAATAAAAACTTTTTTTGCAAATCCTTGACCTGGTGCCTTGCCTTTACTGCTTGATCGGTGACATTATGATTGATTATTAATATTTCATAGAGCTAATTTGCTACAGAGAAGTGCGAATATGTCCCTTTACAACATTGGGGAAGCTGTTGTTTCTGTTTCACTTGAAAAAATCTGTAATGTATTTGCACACATTGCTTCTTTCAAACTAATCCATGTTAATAGGATATTTTTACAACAGTTTCTTGACTGTCTTTTGTTAGCATCAAGGAAAAGAGTCTGAACTGAAAAGCTCCTCAGAGTAAAGCAGTATACAGCCACGGACCGCCCACAATCAAATGTGTGGCAGTGTGAGAATAGAGTGTTTGCAGTTCGTCATGTGCATGCAAACGAAAGCAGGAGCAATTTGCTGAGGAGTCAGATTTCAACACAACGCTTGAGGCTGCTGATGGTGAAATAACACCCAGAATGGGTAGGCAACAAATTAAATTACAATAAATGTAGAAGATAGGTTGAAATGTGTATATAATGTGGCAATGGAGTAAATAAAGATAACCAGATAATAAGTCAGGTTTTTTTTTTCAAATTGGATATAATTCTTTTTTAATAAAAATATGAAGAGGATTTATCACTTTGACACTGATAGTATTGTTAGGTGTGTATTTAATTTCTAGATTAGATTAAGACCTAGATTAAGTCACATCATATGCAGCAAGAATTTGACAAAAAACTTGAAAACACTTTATGTACACACACTCTGTCATTTTGTTATTTATTTTTTTATGTTTTTCTTGATAACTTTTTTCCAGAAATTCCTAAAATATTTTACAGTGAATTTGAATCAAATCACAACGTTCTGTTGTGATCAATTGTGATCAATCTGACATGATCATTAAAGATTCAATTACATTTTATTCTTTACATCTGATACTATATGGATGATTTTATTTTCAGAGAGGCAAAGGCGGGGAAGTCTACTTGCTGACAGTCCTAACAGTAAGTCAGTTAAATAATAGATTACATTGTACATACATAGTACCATGTAAATATGGCTGATTTTTCGATCATTTTTCAAACATTTTGTTTTGTTTTCCAGTGTGTGATTTGAGGATTGTTCTTCTGGGTAAGAATGTATCAGAAAACAGTCGAGTCAGAAACTTGATCCTGGGAATAGATATGCGTGAGAGTGAAGAGCCGACAGCTTTAGAGCAGAACAATATAACCAAAGTCAGTGGGATGGTAAAGGACAGACACATCACCGTCATTAACACTCTTCATCTGCTGAATCCACACATCTCAGATCATCAGATCACACACACAGTGAGAGAGTGTGTGTCTCCGTCTGATCCAGGACCTCATGTGTTCATACTCGTACTGCAGTATGAAGACTTCACTGAGGGGGACATGAGAAGAGTCAAATATGTGCTGGAACAATTCAGTGAAGAAGCAATTAAACGCACTATTGTGCTCACGACTGATAAAGAGACACACGGATTGATTACTTCTATGATCAGTCATACTGCACAACTGATTGGAGGCAGCACTATGGTGCAAATGCAAACTATTCATCAGTTGATTAAGGACTGTGGAGGAGGACATCTGCAGCTGGATGAAACAAAAACAGAATTGCACTCAGATATATTTCAATGGGTTGATATGATGGGCAAGGGAAACCAGGAAGACTATCTCAGATGTGACACATTTAATGATTTTAAAGGAATGTCTGTGGATGAAGAGCCAATCACTTCAGACGACAAAAGCACAAGTTCTCGCCACAATGATTCTGGAAAACCCAAAGAGAGACCAAAAATGAGAAGTGAAGAAAGTCCCTTTTGTAAGTGTTCAGACTTGCTCTTTTAAATTTGTAATTCATTACATATAGTTTCAGTAAAATACATTTGAAAAAGGTTTTAAAATTTGCTTTGACTCTCAGAGGTAACTGATACTAGACCTGATTGTATTTTTAAATTGTGCCTAATCCAGTGAGTTAAGTATAATAAAATAGATCCTAAAATTATACATGAAATAATATATTGTAGTAACATATTGTGTTGTATATTACAATATGTTGATAAGGAAGAGCTGCTTTTCATATATTTATGAGTATATATATATATATATATTACTCACATGGTGGTTCCTAGAATGCATTGCTGCATGAAGCATGTCACCATTGTTGAGATTCATATACTGATTATTGATGACTGTGGCCACTTTTACACAAAGCCGGGTTTTTAGCAAAAGGAATATTTTCCCCCTCTCCGTTTTCAAAAATAACATCGTTCACACACCCGCATAATAAATACGCAGTCGAGAGCCATCATAACTATGCCAAACCTATTGGTGGCAGTGTAGGGGTTAAGGATAAAGCCACGCAAGCCAATCAGATTCCCCAGAATCGACAAGAGAGAACCTAAAACGCCGTTTCCATATATGTGGTAAATGAATAAATAAAAAACATACATTTAAAGAAGTTAACAGACATCATTGCAATAGATTTTAAAGTCTTTTAAATATAGCAACATGGAGCATATCATGTTTATTTGTCTCCTCTTGGACTGAAGCACATGCTCTTCTCTTCAGCACAATGAGATTTTTGTTAAATAAGTGTTTTTAACACTTTAAACACTGTGAATATTTACAATTATGATCATGTTTAGTCACACACAGGCCCCGTTTACACGATGGGAGAATGCAGATATTTCCCTGCGTTTTGCCCTCTCATTTACACGAAAACGCCATTTTTATCATTGAAAACGATTATTTCTAAAAACTGGAGATTTCTGAAAATGCCGGTTATGTGTTGCCGTGTAAACTGGGAGAAATATATTTCTGTTCTGTAATTTGTATATTTGTAAACAGTCTGAGCAGTACTTGTTGAACTTTTAACTTGCTGGCTCTGAAAGCTACTAACAGTGTTCCACAAAAACCTGCATTGTGAAAAAAAAATATTTATTACAAAAGTTTAAGTGTAACCATCTTTAATACACATTAAACTCAAACTCATGTGACAAGGGACTAAAGTAGAAGTAAATTAGAAGTTAACTGTTGTTCCAGAAAGAGGAACAGAAAGCTAAAGTAGAAGAAAACGGAACAAGGACACCAGCCTTCCCAACTGTTATACTTGTGATCTGGGAATAGCAGTATGTAGTGTAAACATATTATTTGTACATTGTTTTTTTTTTATACTTTTTTAAGATGATACAAGAAAGCAAAGTCCAAAATCGATTCGTCCCAACATCTATTTTCACCTCTCTGCAGATGACTCACAGTTGTACTTGCCTCTAAAATCTAGTGATTCAATACAATCTCTTCTGGTCTGTCTCAGAGTTATCAAAACTTGGATGGTTACCAACTTTCTCCAGTTAAAAAGTAATAAGACAGAAGTCTTGTCACTATTTAAGTCTTGTCACACATTTTTGGTTCTCCCAAGGCAAGATGCACTTTGGTGCAAAATTTAGGTCACTTCACCCCATTTATTAAACCTTATGGCAGAAACTTGGGTGTCATTCTTGACTCAGAACTCTGCCTTGACAAACAGGGGTGCGTTTCCCGAAAGCATCGTTAGCCAACCATGGTCATAAGTTCCGTCGTTACCAATAGAGTCCAATGGAAATTGCGACCATAGTTGTCTAATGATGCTTTCGGGAAACGCACCCCAGATTAGTTCTGTTGTCAAAATAGTTTTTGCCAGCTCAGAATAATTTCCCGTTATCCATTACATCACGGCTGGATTATTGTAATTCCTTCTACTTTGGCCTCTCGCAATCATCATTTAGACGTTTGCAGTTGGTACAAAACGCATCAGAGTGTCTTTTTTAACTGGTAATTAAGCCTCATTAAGCTATAATGTGGTTTAAACTGATTGGAGTTTTAAAAAAAAATGTGTTCTGTGAAACTGTGACTATGTATGTTTTTTTTTCTTTTTAGTGTCAGCTAATTTATCTGGAAAACAGAAGCTGAACCTGGTGCTGTGTGGAAGCAATAGATCACTAAAGGTCGCTGTGTCCAAACTATTACGAGGAAAATCGTTAAAACCTTCAAGTCAGCTAGCAAGAGGTAACGAGTGTGTGAAGAAAGAAAATAAGGTTCATGGATGTGTGGTCAGTCTGGTGGAGCTTCCAGCTGTCAATCATCTCTCAGAGGAGGAAGTGATGCGTCAGACTCTCCGCTGTATGTCTCTCTGTGATCCTGGAGTTCATGTTTTCCTCTTCATTGTTCCTGTTGGTCCTCTGACTGATGAAGACAAAGCAGAAATAGAGAAGATCCAGAAGATATTTTACTCCAAAGATCATTTCATGCTGCTCTTCATCTCAGATCTCAGTGTTGACAGACCAGTGACAGAATTTGTCAAATCCAGCACAGATTCTCAGAGGTTAATCAGTCGTTGTGGAGGTCAGTACAGAGTTATGTTTTTAAAGGTGCCTGAAAATTCAAGACAGATCCCAGAAATGCTGGATTATATAGAAAAGATGAAGACTATACCATATTCACTTCAGACATATGTGAAAGCTCAAGAGAACAGAGTCAGACATGAACTGGAAGAAAAACTGAGTGAAATGGAAAGTATGATCAAAGACTTGCAGCAGAAGATTCAGTCAGAAGGTGAGTGGATTTTTGTATTGTGCTCTGTATTGTGTTATGTTATGAGAAAGAGCATAAAATAGTCAAACTGGCAATTGAAAGAAAAATGTTGAATTGCATTAGCTAGCCTAATTGAACAAAAAAAAAAATGCATTGATAATAATAATTGCATTTTAATATAGAGGGAATGCATTGACGTCACTTTCCCGCCGGAACAACCCCCCTCAGCCTGACTGAGTGGCAAAAGATCTGCTGTCTGACTGGATTTAATAGGGGAAACTGCGAAAATGCAACTAAAACGAACAATTTTATCAATTTAAACAAAATGTTGGACTTGACATGCAGCCAGGAATCATGTTGCCTGACATTTATGTTTGCTTGATTTCGACACCGGGGAAATAAAAGCAATATAGACCTAAACATAAAACAAATTTGTCTGTGAACGCTTTATGTAAATACAATATAGGTAGGTCTAATACGGGTGATCACTTAGACATGATTTCTCTATCTTATTCATTTTTTTATTTAGATATATATTTAGATATTCTAAAAAAACAACTTTTTGTTTATTTTATTTTTTTGATAAGTATCAGGTTTGCATTATGATTACAATCAAACAATAACATTTGTTAAAAAGGGAAAACAATGCAGACAGTTTCTCTCTCTCTCTCTCTCTCTGTGTGTGAGTGAGCGTGTGTACACAGCAAAATCTCCAGTGTTAAATTAACACTGAGAAGTGAGAATTATATAAACTCTGAGCAGAGTGTTAAATGAACACTGAAGCAGTGTTAAAGTTAATGAGATAATTAAGTGAATAATTGAGTGATGATTGAGCACTATTGAAGACACCTGATGATAACAAGCAGAATCACTGAAGGAGAAAAAAAATGATTTTTTAAGTCACCCTTATGGTGATCAGTGTTTGGTTTAGCTGGACTCTTGACCCTTAAATCATTAACTTTAGATTTTATTTGGCTGCAGTATATGAGTTATTACGGCTAGATGAACAAATAGAGAAGATGATCTAATGGTGTTGGCTGTGTTTTAACAAAAACATTAATTGACCTGAATCGCTGAACTCATCAAGAGCATAAATTCTGAGTTAAAATTACCTTAAGGATTTTATCAGCACGGTCATTTTAGGACACACCATTTGTAGCCTTTTCAATGAAAAATTATTAAAAATATACATTTAAAAAAATCCCCAAAACATTTTAATTAGGCACACACAGACATCAAGAATTAACATACTAATCTCAGCAATGGTGACAAACAGATCACCTCTGAACATAAGCTCATTATTTATTCACGCAGCAATGCATGATAGGAGCCATGAATGAGTTTTGATTGGTGGCACCCAGAATGCAATGCAACATGCTTTATAACTGTTACCATTGTTGAGATTCACAGCCTAATTATTGATGTCTGTGTGTCTTAAAATTGTAGAGAAGTAAAAAAAATTGTATAAGAAAATATTTTAAGAAATTATTTTGAATACATTGTCAGCATTAAAAATATTACGCTGTACAAGGTCACTGCTGCTATAATTAATAAAGTAAACCTAACTAAGAATTTAAGCTCTATATGAATTCAGTGAATCAGGTCAAATGATTGTGAAAGAATGATTATGTTAAAATAACCATCATCATCAGATCACCTTTTCTATTTGTTCATCTGGCTGTTATTACTCATGTACAGCAGCCAAACAAAATATAAAGTTAATGATTTAAGGGTCAAGAGCCCAACTAAAGCAAACACTGATCTCCATAATGGTGACTTAAAAATTCCTGTTTTCTCCTTCAGTGATTCTGCTTGTTAACATCAGGTGTCTTCAATAATGCTCAATCATCACTCAATTATTCACTTAATTGTCTCATTAACTTTAACACTGCTTCAGTGTTAATTTAACACTCAGCTCAGAGTTTATATAATTCACAATTTTAAAGTGTTAATTTAACACTGGGGATTTTGCTGTGTGTGTGCGTGCATTTGAGTGAGTTTTTTTTTGGTTATTTATTTATTTTATTTTGCATATTCTTGCATATTCTGTGTGTGTGTGTGTGTGTGTGTGTGTGTGTGTGGTGGGGTGTCTTATTTGCACTCTTGATGTTTTAGACTCGTGTCATCCCTTCATTGCTGTGCACTTTTTTTCTGCAGTTGCTGATCTGTAGTTTGTATCACCAAAAGTTTATCTGATTTTTCCTTTTTTTTAAATTAATTCTACCAACATTATGTTTCAGGTGCTGAAGGTGAATCAAATGATCATGAGTGTCTGAGAATTGTGCTGATCGGGAAGACAGGAAGTGGAAAGAGTGCAACAGGAAACACTATTCTGGGAAGAAATGAGTTCCACAGCCAATTAAGGCCAGATTCAGTGACGACTGTGTGTGAGAAGGGAGTTGGTGAAGTTGATGGTCGATCAGTCGCTGTTGTTGATACTCCAGGACTCTTTGACACAACACTGCAAACTGATCAAGTGGTGGAAGAAATCGTGAAATGTGTTTCACTGTCGTCACCTGGACCTCATGTGTTCATCATTGTGTTGAGTCTGGGAAGATTCACCAAGGAGGCAATGGACACTATGGATCTGATAAAGAAGATCTTTGGTCATAAAGCTGCTCAGTTCAGCATCGTCCTGTTCACTAGAGGAGACGATCTTGAGAATGAGTCCATAGAAGATTATGTGTGCAAATATAACTGTGCTGAACTGAAGAAACTGATCAGAGATTGTGGAAACAGATTCCTGGCTTTCAATAACAGAGAAAAACATGACAAAACTCAAGTAATTAGACTGTTGAACATGATAGAAGAAGTGAAAAACACCAATGAGGGTCGATACTTCACTAACTGCATGTTTGAGGAGGCAGAGATGTCCATTAAAAAGAGGATGGAGCAAATAATGAAAGAGAGAGAAAGAGAAATTCATGTTCTAAATGAAAAATTAACAGCTCAATATGAGATGGAAAAGAAAAATATGATTAAGAGACTTGAGGAAGAGAAACAAAGAGCAGACGAGGAGAGAATGAAAATGGAGAATCAATTCAGAGAAAAAGAGGAAAAGCTGAGAAGAGAGTTTGAAGAGAAAGAGAAAACAGAACAGAAGAAACGAGAGACTGAAAATCAGAAACGATCAGAAGAGGAAGAACAGCAAAAAACTGAATATCATCGAAAAATAGAAGAAATGAAGAGAGAGATTAAATATCAGATATCACAGTATGAAAAACAGCAAAAAGAAAAAGAAGAAGAAGATAGAAAGAGAGAAGAGAAATACAGACAAGATCAAGAAAAGATGAAAGTTGAACAAGAACGAATTATAGCAGAGTTACGAATGAACCAAAAAGAGGAAATAAAGAAGAGAGAATCTGATGAGAAAAAGAGGAATGAAGAAGAAGAGGAAGAGAGACAGGGATGGAAAAGAAAATTAAAAGAGGCTGAAAATGACAGAAAGGAGACTCAAGAGGAAATTAAACGACAGCAGAGAGAATGGGAGGATGAAAAGAAACGACAGATGAGAGAACGAGAGGAAGAAGAAAGAAAGAGAAAAGAGAAACACGAAGAACAACTGAGAGAAAAACAAGAAGAACTGGAGAAAATGAGAAAGAGATTTGAGAGAGAGAGAGAAGAAGAAAGACAGAAGATAGAGGAGGAGAGAGATAAACTGAGAAGAGAAAGAGAAGAAAAAGAGAGAGAATATGAAGAAAAGAAAACTAAAATGGAAAGACATTATGAAAGACTGGAGCGAGAGAGAACGGAGGAGTGGGAGAAAAGAAAGCGAGATGATGATGAAAGACGAGAAGAAGAAAGAAAGAAATGGAAGAAAATGATTGAAGATCTGAAACAAGAGCAAGATGAAGAGAAAAGGAGAAGAGAAAAAGATGATAAGGAGAGAAAAGAACAAGAAGAGAACGAGAAAAATGAAATTACAAAGGAATATGAGGAGAAAATAAAAGTCATAAAGAAGAAACATGAAGATGAAGCCAGAAAAAAGGCAGAAGAACTGAATGATTTCAGAGAGAGAAAAGAGCAGCACATTCAGGAGCTCAAACTGATGCTGGAAGAACGTCATAAACAACACGAACTACTGGAGAAACTTTATCAACACCTGAAAGACCACAGAGAAGAAGAAATAAAAGAGCTACTACAAGAAGTTGAAAAACAGAAGAATAAAACCAGCTGTGCCATTCTGTGATTTTCAAAATGATCTCTTTGTGATTTTCTAATATGAGTGTCAAATAACAATATTTATGTGTTTTTTTGTTGTTGTTGTTATTTACCTGAAACTTTTATCCTATCATTGGATTAACTGGATATAGTAGATATAGGGGAGCACGGGGCACAACCTAACGCGGGGTTAAATGTAACACAGACCGTTTACATAGTTCGTCAGGATCAAGCAGGCTGTGTTTCCGATATTTTTCTCTTGCAGCCAGAAGACGGTCTCCTGCGAATTTGCGGAAAGTTTTGATTATATTTCGTGAAGATACTGGACAAAGAGTGTTTTGACACCATGAAAGTAATTTTTTTCATCATAGGTTTTTTTTCGGTTTCTGAGTTGGATGTATACGCTTCCAAATCTAACTTTATATTGCCTTAATCACTGTCTTGTTGGCTCAAACATAGCACCGTTTTGAAACATGTCAGCAATTCCTAGCGACTGTTAGCTAGGTTTAAAATATGTAATACACAGCGGGGTTAGTACTAACACAGTGTTACAACTAAGCCTCCAAGTGTACAATGATAATCAAATGAAAACGGAGCCACACAACTTTTCAGGTTTGAGTATACATTTAACTTTGTTGGACGTTCACAAACAATGTTGGAATTTAAAATGTTTAAAATTTAGTGTACTATGAATAATAACTTGTTTATTTATTAAAAATATTGCCTGTTATCAATGCAATAAACCCTTTTTTAATTTTTATTTTAAGCTCATTTGTATTATTGTTACTGTTGTTGTTATTATTATTAATAATAATAATTGTACATGCAGCTGCCACACACAAATCTAATTCATTTGCAATTACAATATTCATAATTTTATTTATTATTATTTACAAGACTGTGCAGCCCCTTTCTATGTCCCCATCCATGATATTGATCCATAATAGAAGGATGATTGGATGAGGGATGGATGTATGGATATCTGTCTATACAGATGCATGAACAATATCAAACTATACAAATAAAATAGTCCTGAATTATGTGTGTTAGACACAAGTGCTACAACTAACCCCTCTGTCTGTTACAATTAACCCCGCACATGGGGTAAGTTAACAATTGCACTTCTGTCACTTTCAGTGCAACTGTACGAAAATGGTAGGTCCTAGAAAAAAACGTTAAGTGTTCATTTGTAGCAGAGATGTGTATGTTGCTTGTGTAAAAAAGTATTAATCTAACCTAATTATTTTTTCATTAATTTAGCCAAAACCAAAATGCGTTAGGTTGTGCCCCGCTCTTCCCTAACCCCTCACAGGGAGAAAAAAAAACCCTCAACTCTCTTACACTTTAACAGAATATAGTTTAACAGTCAATATTCAAAAGTATCAAAATATATTACAAATGTTTTAAATATCAAAATTAATATCGAACACATTCGATACACTGTTAAAAAAAATGCTGAAATTTACGGTAAAATACCGGCAGCTGTGGTTACCGTAAAAAAATATGGTGGCAACCTTTTATGTTTTACGGGACTTAAATTTATGGGCAAAAAAAAAAACTGTGAAATTTACGGTAAGAAAACACCAGCTTGGATGCCAGTATTTTATCGTAAAAATATTGTAGCAACCTTACTTTGGACTTAAGTTTTCGCCATAATAAATAAATAAATAAAACATCAACTCTGTTTCCCAGTAATTTAGCATTATACAGTAGCAATCTTTTTGATTTTATGGGACAACCCTTATGTTTTATTAGCCAACAAATATTATTATTCATTTTCACTAAAGCATTAAAATCTGCTTTATATCTTTGTAAAATACTGATAACCACCATAATAATACAGGTGGTAAAAAAACACATTATGATTCAAAGTTCACCATTAGTTTTCCACAAGTTGAGGCACACATCAATATATGTAAGGAGCACAGTGTCACACACATAAAAAAACACCATCATGGTTACACACACATGACTCCAAATAATGCCATACCCATTCATTAAACAATATATAATGTAATATAAACCCCAAATGTACATAATTGATAACAGAACCTAAAAAGAAACATAATTGTTTAGATGAAATAACATCAAATGTGAAGTGTCACGCAGGGAATTCTGGGAATGTCAATATAGAGAAACAATAAGAACTATAACATTCAATCTGTGAAGATCTCATCAGAGGAGGATTAAAAAAACTCCACAAACAGCATTACCAGCTTTAATTAGTCCTAACCAGAATGACTTTATTTCTGTCAGACGTTTACAGTTACCATGATGGTGATCGTCTGCTGTAACTCTGAGTATATAATCATCATGTAGTTTCCTTGTTCACTAAGTTCATATAGAGTCTTATCTTTGATAAAGTTTTATCTGATTATTTTGTTGATTGTCACCATTGTTGAGATTCGTATGCTGATTCTTGATTTATGTGTTCATCTAGAGGATGCAGTTTAAATTCTTTTTTGTACATCATGATGGTTTTAAAGTTCTTCAGATTGTTACTGCTAGTGTCACAGAACTATTATACTCAATAATGTGAAATAAATCGCATGGCCCTCTTGATCTATTAACCAGGCTTTCAGGTTAGCCTGGCGCTGTGTTAGTAGCTTGATTAACATTGACGTTGCTTGAAGCGTGGTTTCTGTTTCCTCAATTCTCCCCTCTGCCTCCTCCAGTCTATCGTTTGTTCTCTTCAGTTCGTGTTTAATGTAGTAAAGCTGTACCTTATTGTCCCTTCTGAAGTCCTGGAGTTCATTGATAATACATGGAAGGCTAACTTCGGAGCCACCCTCACAAAGTGGAGACGAACTAGGAGAGCTACTTCTGCTACCTTTCCTCACTTCAGGGTCATTTCAACGCATTCTCATCCTTACGTGACGCTAAAGGATGAGAACGGGCTGGTCATTTTTGATCACATTCATAGTAGAAAGCCCTTTTTCCGTTATACTACAAAGTATACACCAAGGTTTACAAACCTACGTTATTTCACAAAACCGTCGGGGAGCTCGGAAATTAGGCTGTCATCCTCTTGGTGGCATAACCGGAAACTTCTTGAATTTATGTTTATCCGACGGGATGATAGAATTGACATCATTACGTGAGGATGTAAAAGAACTGGTGAAACGAACTTTAAAGGGGAAGGTTTATATTCTCCTCTCCAACCTTTACTTACCCATAGATTAGCTTGGGGGGGGCGGGGGGGGGGGGCATACATACCTTCGCCTTGGGCCCCCAATTTGCTAAATCTGCCACTGTATACAGTAATAACGTTAAGTCAGGGGGCGTTCATAAACACGCTGAAAAGCGATAATGCGTCTTGATAGCACGCCAAAAATGGAAATACGAATTGGCGTGTCATACACACGCTACTTCATGAGATCAGTCTGAACTGATCATAAAACATATCCTATAACATAAACGGTGAAACCAAAAGCTTCAACAAGCCGAGTAACACTTTACAATCCCATTAATTAACATTATGTTTCATTGAATGCATTAATTAGCGTGAACTAACAACGAGCAATGTTACAGTATTTATTAATGTTTGTTAACAGTTCGTTGTTAGTTCATGTTAGCTCATGTCCCTCCATTAATTATAAAAATATGACTTTTGATATTAATAATGTATTCATAAATGTGGAGGTGATCCTCCTCTTCTTATTTTGACTACTTTTTGCTTCACTTGAAAAAGTTCCTTTCACAGAATATGCGTGGCCCTCATTGGCTGAGGGGGTGTCCCTTACGCGCGTGCGTTGGAGGCTGATCACGTCACCGCTCGCGCGCGTTCTTTTTCCCTCATTGATTTTCCGCGTCGAGTTTTCTGAGGTGAGGTAAGCGGTTCACGGCATTTCTCATATTTACACAACCATCACACACACTTTACTCGGTTTGATTATGCGACAGACTGATTTATTTATTGTTTTCATCGATTACAGCGATCCGTGTGTGTCTTTTCTGGCGTCTTCCTACTGAAACAAACATTTAGTGCAGCAGCAGCGAGCATGAGGAGAATATGTTGAGTTCATTCAGAATCAGACCTGAGAGATTTTGTGCTCGTTTGTGTGATAGTTTCGATGTTTGGAGTGAGAGCTGTTACTGAATGTCAAGTTAAAGTTTGAAATTTGTGAGGGGAATTGATGGGAGTCGATCCCAAGTGTTGCCATTTCCAATAGCTAACTTCACCTTTATTTCTTCTTTGTCGACATTTATCTTTGGCAGATTACATTTACTTATTAAAATCGATATTTTAACACTTTATATTGCCCCTGTATGAGTAATGAACGTGGGAAATTTTATACATCCACGAGAATATAAATATTAAAGAAGTTTGACACAGGAAGCGTTATTTCCTTAATTTTTAAGATTTTTATGATCTTTGTCAGTTTCTGCACATAAAAATCTGTAACATGTTAATGATTGAAATACCTTATTGCAATTAATAGTTATTATAAAGTCAAACTATAGATTCGCATATTATGGTGTTGTAGTTATTTGCCTGTAGAGGTTTGTAAAGATTAGCCTGGCTCAGCCAGTTTTCAATTTTCTCAATGTTCATTTTCCTTCAGTACTAGGGCTTGGATTTGATTTCAGTCCTAATTCAATATTGACAAATTTGAATAAATATTAGGTAGGCTACAGTCTGGCTGCAAGTAAAAAAAAAAAAAAAATCAAGAAAAAAATATATCTCGCATAATGCTGTAAACATACGGGAGAAATAAAATATAATGCAGTTTTCATTATAATAACAATTATGTAATGACAAGTAAACATAATAAATATATAATATAGTGCACATATTTAGCAAAATACTCCTCACTATTTTTTCTAGTCGACTAATGTGCTGGTCATTAACTAGCTTTCCTGAGGTAAATGTAAAGTTCTGTGACATAACTGTTATCCTGCAGTTTTATAGACCTCTTTCTGTGGTTGAAAAACACTGATCGATATTATGTATGATACGATATGTATCATATATATATGTACAATATTATGTACAGATGATTGGTTTACTTGAACTGAGGCGCAGCGATCTGTCACAATTAGGGTTGGGTATCGTTTGAATTTGAACGATTCTGATTCCGATTCCTTGTTTCGATTCCGGTTCCTAACGATTCTCGATTCCGAATTTTTTAAGAGGCAGGGTCAAAAACGGCCTTTCCGAAGGAAATACTCGTTCTGTAAAAATACTCCTTTTGTCACAAATTTTCACAGAGATTTTGTTATTTTTTAGAAAAGTGAAGCCACACTTTGGATCGCCGACGTAAGGTACTCATGTTCGACCAGCGCGGTTATGCCAACACTTCCGGTAGACGCTTCTTTGTTCGTGTTGTTCAGCGGTTTCTTCTTTCGCTCGGCGGACTGTGAATATCGAAACTAGGAATCGAAATTTGAACTTTTGAACGATTCCGGGAAAAATTAAAAGTTAGTCTCGGTTCCAATCGATACTCGATTCTCGATACCCAACCCTAGTCACAGTGGACAGAACCTATAAAGAGGATTTTTCTTCATATTCTGTCTAGTCTGTCGGTGTCAGTGTAAAAAGCGTCAATTGCGTAAAGCGCCTTTCACACAGGACGCGAAATGCGCGGCACTGGCCGCTGGGTTCAATGTTGCTCTTCAGATGCAATTTGCTATTTTGCTTATAAAAAGTTGAACTATTTTGAACCCAGCGTGCCCATTTCTGTCTGCTTGTGAGAACTGTTACTTGGAGTGAGTTTGAGTCTCTTTGAATTATTGTTGTTGTACTGAAAATGAAATGACTTTTTTTCTATCATGTCAGACCCGATGGAAGTGAAGGAGGAGAGTGAAGGACTGAGTGAAGTGGAGGAGGAACATCATGTCCAACCAGGAGAAAAACCTTTGAGTCGCTCAAAGACTAAAAAAACATTTTTAAAGAAAAGAGCCAATAAATTTTCAACCTGCACTCAGTGTGGAAAGAGTGTCACAACCAAACATCTTAATATGCACATGAGAGTTCACACCGGAGAGAAGCCGTTTTCATGTGATCATTGTGGAAAGAGCTTCTCAAAAAAACACCACCTTCAAAGACACTTGAGGATCCACACTGGAGAAAAACCGTATGCATGTGATCAGTGCGGAAAGAGTTACCCAGATAAACAATATCTTGAACTTCACATGAGAATTCACACCGGAGAGAAACCATTCATGTGTGAACACTGTGAAAAGAGATTCTCAGACAAAAACCGTCTTAGGCTTCACATGATAATCCACTCCGGAGAGAAGCCGTTCTCATGTGATCAATGCGGGAGCAGTTTCTCTCAAAAACAACATCTTCTAGGACACATGAGGATCCACACTGGAGAAAAGCCGTACGCATGTGATCAGTGCGGAAAGAGTTTCGCTCTAAAACACCAGCGTGTTATTCACATGATGATCCACACCGGAGAGAAGCCGTTCTCATGTTATCAATGCGGAAATGCATTTCGTGGGGCAGCGGCCCTAAAGACACACCTGACAATTCATACGAAGGAGAAGCCGCATTCATGTCCTGTGTGTGGAAAGAGTTTTTCACGGCTGATATATTTATATAAACACGAGAAAATACACACTGGTGTGAGAGAGTACATGTGCTTTGAGTGTGGGAAGACTTTTAATACAGATCAACATTTAAAACTGCACCAGAGGATCCACACTGGAGAAAAACCTTACAAGTGTTCACACTGCGACAAGAGATTCAGTCTGTCAACACATCTGAAAACACATGAGAGGATCCACACTGGAGAAAAACCTTACAAGTGTTCACAGTGCGACAAGAGATTCAGTCAGTCATCACATCTGAAATTACATGAGAAGATCCACAGCAGAGGGAAGCCGCACACGTGTGATCAGTGCGGAACAAGTTTCTCTTTTAAAACTCCCCTGATTCGACACATGAAGACCCATAAAGTGAAGAAACCACATCACCACAGTCACGGTAAGTAGTTCCCCAGCTAACAGACTGTTTTTCATATGACCGTTCTCCAAATATTCAGAACAAAAAATATTCTCCAAATATTCAGAGCCAAATTTTGGTTCTGGGAACCAAAAAAAATCCAGTTTTCTTGACATTAGAGTAATGTGTTTTAAAGGGTACAATGTTCCTCAAACGTTCTTTCAACTCTAAAGCCTGTGTTATACTTTCCGCGTCACGTAAAAATCGTCATCTGAGGGTAGGGATGGGTATCGTTCGAATTTGAACGATTCTGATTCCGATTCCCATTCCTTGTTTCGATTCCGGTTCCTAACGATTCTCGATTCCGATTCTTTTAAGAGGCAGGGTCAAAAAAGTTTAGCTAACCTTGCTAACCAATGGTATTTCTGAAGGAAATACTCCTTTTGTCACAAATTTTGCATTTTGCCGAGATTTCGTTATTTTTAGAAAAGTGAAGCCACACTTTGGACCGCCGACGTAAGCTACTCATGTTCGACTCGCGTGGTTATGCCAACACTTCCGGTAGACGCTTCTTCTTTGGTGTTGTTAAGCGGTTTCTTCTTCCGCTCGGCGGACTGTGAATATCGAAACTAAGAATCGAAATTTTAACTTTTGAACGATTCCGGGAAAAATGAAAAGTTAGTCTCGGTTCCAATCGATACTCGATTCTCGTAGGGATGGGACGGTATGAAAATTTCATATCACGATTATAGTGTCCAAAATAATCGTGATTATCAATATTATCACGGTTTTGTTAAAAATTTATGAACGTGCTCAAAAAGAACTGATGCTCACACTGAAAACATTTCAACAAGTTTTATAATTGAAAATCAACAAACAACAAATAAAACAAGCCTCTCTATGCAGTTTTTTAGGCAAGTTTCTATTCTATGGCATTTGCTTCTTTATAATGCCCGTCGTCAATAGCAACACATTATTATACAGCGCACATCCATATCACAACGGACGCGCGCTCTTGTTTCATTCAAATGCATCTTGCCGTCTTGCGTCTCCGGTTTTTGATTGTATTGCAAAAATGAAATCAGAGTTGATTTATTGTTTACAGAGTTTGATAATATTGGTGTGATATATCTCGTCTGGACGATTGTTTTACAAAATGAATTCATAAACAGGTAAGATTTAAAACATTAGCTAATCTCATTATCAATTCAATATGTCCCCGTAATTATGTGGTAAAAATAAAATCGGTTTAATACGTGATGTATCTATACTTTACTATCCCTTAAAATATCACTCTTAATAATAGTCTTGTTTGAAGTTGTTCGTTCGTCTTTGGCTCAAATCCACTTGCTACGAACTTTTCTTCGCGGAAGCTTGACGTCTATTTCAAGTGAGTGACATAAAATGTTTCAACTCAAAACAACATTTCGTGCCCAATTGTTTCCCAGACGTAGTTTTGGTATTAAGGTCAAAGTTAACTTGTCTTGCGTTCGGGTGATGATCACAAGACGACTCGGCAGATTTGAAGTGTTTCTACTGCAGTGACTTTTTGTTCGGCAGACAGGGTAACCATCCTTGATCAAGTTTCCCTCAGGACTTTTGTAAAACCCAAAATATGACCACACCTCAGATTTGGTCCTCTTAAAAGGCTGAAAAATCTCCTGAGCACAGTCACTGCCTTCCGCCATTCCTTCTCGAATAGTAATTTAAAAAAATATTGCGTGCTGCGCGCCTGCGTCAGACTGGCCGACAGGATTCAGTGAGTTATTAAAATCGCGATAATCAAACACGGTTTTTATGATAATTAAATTTTAAACGATAATACTAACCGTCAGTACATTTTATCACGGTTTATAGTTAAACCGGTTATCGTCCCATCCCTAGATTCTCGATACCCAACCCTATCTGAGGGTCTGTCCGTAGGTTCCTTGCGGACGTCCGTGTGCCTCCTATATTTTGTGACCGCACGGTCAAAGTATGCGCGGCCACTACTAGATTAAAACCGCGAAAGCGTGGGGGTAAAAAATGGACGTCGATTTCGAAGAGAGGCTGTGCGAAGAAGTCCGTCACTACTAGGGATGGGCATTCGATTAAATTTTTTTTTAGTCGATCGTCGGAAGAATTAACGATCGGCTATCGATTAATCATTAATATTTTTATATTCAAATTTATTATATTTCACTTTTAATAAATTAAAAATGCAATGAAAATACAACAATAAAGCGTGTTTTTCCTCGATTAGGTCTTTATTACAAGATGATCAACATGTGGCAGTTAAACTGGGCGTTCGGTTAGGCTAAATTTGAAGATTTGCGCGGCGGTGCTCTAACGCAACTGAACCTGCAGCTGCGAGTTGGCCCTCGTGAGACCCTCGTTTGTTCCAAAATAATAAAAATAACTCAACCAAAAACATAATAACATTTAGATCTGACTGTTTGGTCAAAATGTAACTCAACCAAGGCATGGAGTCGAGAAAGGGTGAGAGAGATTAGCCCACCTGACAATCAATTAGGCTAGGCTACTTAAAGCTTCATAAAAAATAACTCGCATACAACTTCTGCTCCAGTCTACTGATTTTTGTTGAGAAAGATAAGCATGTTGATGACATGATCTGGGGTCAGACGCGAACGCAACCTGCATGGTGACCGTCAAGCCTTGTTTACGCTTTCGCCTTGCACTTTGCTGTTTACGCTTTCGCCTTTGCATCCGCACCCCCCCAAACGGATGAGGTTTTCATATTTAAACAAATTTTTGCCGCGCGCACCTTCACGCTCGTGCGGACGCTTCGAGTGTAAACAAATGCTTCAGTCCAGCCGCTGAAAACACCGCTCTGATGAGGGGACTGACGTTGCCGGGATCGCAGGTACCTCCGCGCTAACATTACCAGCCCGGGGAACACGTTCATTTTCCACTCACACTATGCAACGCAACATCATATAGTTTAATGATAATCGATAACAAATTAACGGGATCGACGAAATTCTTAATGATCAATAACCGATCGCCGATTAATCATACCCATCCCTAGTCGCTACCCGCACCTCGACAACCCATCATTAAAGGATCATAAACAGCCAGATGTGCAATAATTCCTGGAGGGAAATTAGCGAGAGTTTAGACAAAGTGTCGGCAGAAGTAGAAATATATTAGGGACCAGTTTGTCAAGGCCTATGTTTTACAGTCTGTGGTCAAGGCAAAGAAAAAAGCTTGAAAAAAGCATGTCTTTGCTAGTGTCCCAGCTGATCTACTGCGCATGCGTGGAACGCGTTCACTGAGCGGACCTCAGCAGACAGTATAAACACAAGTAGTCCGTGTCCGCAGCTGTTTTTGTACGCGCCCAAACTGGAGTATAACTGAGCCTCAAGGGATACTCTTATACACTGTTATTCCCTTAACTAAGACGAGTTGATGCATACCTCTCTCGTGTCTCAGTGTGTGCACTCACTTTTTTGACGACCCGCTTACATCATCTTTTAAAAGTGACCCGTATCCGATTTTTGCATTTACACTATCCACTGCTGAAACTACCAAATGTAGACGTTCTGACCCGGAAAATTAAGGCTACGTCCACATTAATCCGGATATATTTGAAAACGGGGTTTTCGTTTAAAAACGCTCTCCGTCCACACTAGCGTTTTCAGGCGTTTGCCGACGTTTCAGTGTGGATGAGAAACTTCTAAATTCACTTTACTGCGCATGCGTGAAACTTCACAAAAGCTCACTGAGATGATCCAGACGGGAAAATAAATAATAATGTCATCGCACAATAGCAGGATAATTTTATTTAGCAAAATATCTCACCATCACGGATGCGTCCAGATCGCATTCAGTCACCATATGTTTGGTCTAAAACGCAACTGCTCTCCTGTTTTGCCGCAGGACAGCAAATGTAAGTACGTTATCTGTCATCTTTGTAGTACTATGAAAAATAGCATATATTAAGTAACATAGAAAGTAACATATTTTAGCAATAGTGTAAAAATGAATAACACATAACAGGCACAATACCGATAAACATGAATATCTATTGGTACTACATGGATCACATGACCAAACTTGCGTCATTGTTTTGAAATACCTCCGGTTTCACTGTCCACGCTACAACGCGAAAACAGCGTTTTCAAATTTATCCACTTTGGAGAGCGTTTTCCAAACAATACGTTTTTGTTGACTTAAAACGCCGTCTCGGTGTGGACGGAAGCCCAAAACGGAGAAAAAAATATATGTTTTCAAACGAAAACGTATTAGTGTGGACATGGCCTAGTAAAACTGCACGAAATGCAATGGATGCAGATGTGAATAAAATTGTCCATTGTTTTTCTTTCCACAATATTTTGACAAGTCATCAAAACATTGGTCCCATACGGCGGAGAAAAAGAGGAGAGCCCTTGTTGGCACTGTAGCCACGAGCGCTTAAAACCGTGCCTCCCCATATCTCGTGAAATGTCTTCAAATACCGATTTATTTCTGTAACATCCCTGCATTTTAACCTGCACTCTTCGCCCCAAACACTCAAAAGACAACATGACATCATGACTTTTGCGTAAACAAACATGCCAATTTCGAGTCAAGTGGCGTGTTATCTCGACGCATTTTGAGCTATCCGCGTGTATGTCTACGCCATTAACGTCCACGTCATTCCGCGTGTCTGTACACGCCGTCAAATGTCCGAGCAAAACAAAGCAAAATGTAGATCTACATCTGGGGAGCGATCTTTTTTTTTCCTAGGATGGTAAGGGAACAGTCATAAATGCCATTAACCCCAGTGACGGGTAGGTTTAGGGACGGGATTGAGGTAAGTCATATATTTATATATACAGTAATTATGCGTGTTGATGGCACTCCAAAAATGGAAATACGAATTGCCGTGTCATACACACGCTACTTCATGAGATCAGTCTGCCTGATTTCACTGAGAACAAGTCACGTAGTGTGAACCGCACAGTTCAGCCCGACGTTTTAAAATCATGTAGTGTGAACAAGATATTAGTTAAGAGAATAACATGGTTTAATATGAAAAAACGGCGGACTATCCCTTTAATTTTGACTTAAAATTCAACATTTTTGGAACGTTGATTTGTAACATTCCAAGAACATAAAAATGTCCAGTTTCCTGAATGTTAAATTGAATGTTATTTAAAGGTTAGTATGATGTTCTTGAAACGTTCTCCCATGTTTGGAACCATCCTCAGACCAGATTTGATTGGTTTAAAATAACTCTTGAACTCATCAGTGATCTTGACTTTTTATTTCAAATTTTTTCTCTCATTTGAAATGTCACATGATTTAATTTTTATCTTTTAGACACGATGGAAGAACCAGAGAGAAACCTTACACATGATCAATTCTGGAAGAGCTTCACGGTTAAGGAAAACTTTAAGAGACAAATGAGGATCCACACTAGACGACCATTCACTTGTGAACAGTGTGGGAACAGTTTCTCAAGTAAACGAAACCTTAAGAATCATATGCGGATTGTTGTATGTCTATACCGCTGTAACCTTATAAATCATTCCCATAACCTGTTACAATCATAAACTGCCCTTACCTGCAGGTTAAAGATGTTAGACGTTAATACAGTGTCCTTAAACCAGTTCAGTCCTAGGTCCGTTTCACTGGGTGTTTGCTAGTACTAATATCTAAACTACAATAAAATAAAGATATGTCTAGGGAAAAATCACTCTAAAAAAGGTTTTGAAAGTTTTTCGAATCGTTAGCTCGGATTTCATCAAAAATATGAGGTTGAGTAAATGGCAGAAATTTTTATTTTTGGGTGAACCAACCCTTTTAAACCATTCTCCTCAAATGCGTTTTACACGGGTCAGTATCACCCCTGGCATCAAGACAACCAGCCCAAGAGCACAGAATGCATCAGCAGCATCTTGATAGTAGATCTAGTGAAGAACAGATGATGAGATACACTGACAAACACAACAGGATCTCACAAATATTATAGCACCTCACCACACAGGCAAATAGCAAAATCATGTCAATGGACACCAACAGTGGACCTTTTTTCAACAAGCTGCTTGGCATTTTCCTTTCCCGTAGTCCTTTCCAGCCTTGTGGAGGTTTACAATTTTGTCTCCAGTGTCTTTGGACTGCTCTTTGGTCTTGGCCATGTTAGTAGTTGGAATCTTACTGATTGTATGGCGTGGACAGGTGTCTTTATACAGCTAACAACCTCAAATCTTTTTTAGGATAATAAATGGGGTGGAGGTGGACATTTTAAAGGCAGACTAAGGGCCGGTTCACATATCGCGTCTTTTGCGTGCTTAAGTTCATTATTTTAAATGTAGGCGCGCGGTATGCGCGCTCATAATGGAAGCGATGCGGTCGCGGCGCGACGCGCTCTTTTTTTCCATGCGCAGCCGCGCCGAGATAAAAACATCTCAACTTTTCAGAATACCGCAAGCGCACCATACGCACACAATAGGTCATGTGACAAGAACCAACTGAAGCTTTGGAAAATGGAGAATGCGGCGCGCCCAGCGTTTTCTACGCGTTTTTAGGCGCTATATGTGAATCCAGCCTAACAGGTCTTTGAGGGTCAGAATTCTAGCTGAAAAACAAGTGTTCAAATACTTATTTGCAGCGTATCATACAAATAAATAGTTAAAAAATCATATACCGGTATTGCAGGGCCGTTTGAAGGAATTTGGGGGTCCCAAGCAAAATGGACATGGAGGATGGACTCGAGCATAATTCCGCTTCATGATGACATTTTCAGTGAATTTTTAGTAACTTTAGATCAGGGGGAAAGGAAGGGTGGAGGGAGAGGGGGATGTAGAGATAAGGAAGAAGAAATGTGTGGACAGGACAATGTCCCGTGCTCTTTCATTGCGACCTTTTGTCCAGGGTGCATTTTATTGCTTTATTCTGAGTTTCGTCTCAGCTTTTGTCTCCAGCAGGAAAATCAGTTCTTATGAAAGAAAGAAAGAAAAAAGAAAGATAAAACACATTACATTTAGAAAACAAATCAAGTTTGTGTTCAGTGCCTAACAAACATGTATAGTTGATCAATAAAATGTGTCTGATGATATCTGTCATAAGTTACAATTACTTTGCATTTGTTGACTTAAAAATCAGTTTGAAAATATTATAGACAAGTCATAAATGAAAGATTTGGAAATAAATTTACCCTGTCCATCACATGTTGGATTTTTTTCTTTTCCTTGCTTGTATAAGCAGGTGTCCCCCAAAGAATTCACTGCAATGCGGCAGCAGGACACGTAACGTGGCCATGTATTGATTAAACGACCATAAATAGAGCTGGACCCAGCTCTATGGAGCTGGATCTGGGCCCATTATCCACATCTCCCACATTACTCTGCACCACATACCGGAATGACTGCAATGACTCAACAGTTTCATTACAAACGCTTTCACTTTCTCCAATGTCACGTCATTTCAATGTATGGCTCTCAGTCTTTATGCCACTCAGTGCGCATGCTCAGTCACACGCATACCCTCGATCTATTTTTTATTTATTTATTTTTCTTGCTCTATATAAAGACCTGCAGAGAACTTTCACTTCCTATCTGGACTCCAGGAGCTGGACAGACTGACACACAGACAAGAAACGATCAGGTTTGAGTCTATTGCCTGTAATACCAATTGTATTATTTGTCAATTGTATCAGTAATTACTTTAATAGAAATAGTCATCTCGATCTGGAAAAATTTACTGTAGATTGATTTGATTTTATACAGTACATTGACTAAATACACAGGTCAAAACATAAATATAATTGTGTTAATATTTTATTGCAAAACATTTTTTTCGGATTTCAGGTCACCATTTCGGAGATCAGTGTCTGCTTTAGTTGGGCTCTTGACACTTATATTATTAACTCTAGATTTGTTTGGTTTTTGTTTGAGTTATAACTGCCAGAAGAACAAAGAAAAAAAGATCCAATGGTATTGGTTATATTATGACAATAATCATTTGACCTTAATGTCTGTGATTTATTCAGTTGGTTACAGTATAACTGAGATTCTGCATAAATACCCAGAATATGAGATATAATATAAAGGATTTCTTAAAAGTTGTAAAAAAAAAAAAAAAAAAAAACCTGACTTTTCGGCACACACAGATATTAAATTTCAGTCAATGCATCTCAACAACGGTGACGAGTAGAATATTCAATTAGGAAAAGTAAATTACATAGACAATTCAGGTCATAATTTATTCGTTCCGCAATGCATGATGGGAGCCATTAATGAGTTGTAATTGGTGGCAACAAGGATTATTATTGTCACCATTATTGAGATTCAGATACTGATTATTGATGTCTGTGTTTCTAAATAAATGCATTTGAAAGTGATTTGATCAGAACAACTGTTATTAAATGTTTTGAATAATAAGAAAAATACTGATTTTCATATGCCGTAGAACCACAAAACTGTTGCTAACAAGTTAACCAAATCAACTGAATAAGTTTAATTTTTCAGATCACAGCATGATTATGTCAAAACATAACCAACACTATCAGATCACAGTTGTCTTTTTTCATTTGACTGTTATAAATCAATAACAGAAAACAAACAAATTTTAAAGTGAAAGTAAAAGTGTCAAGAGCCCAACTAAAGCAAACACTGGTCTCCATAACGGTGGCTTACAATTTGTGATTTTCTCCTTCAGTGATTCTGCTTGTGATCATCAGGTGTCTTCAATAATGCTCAATCATCACTAAATTAATCACTTAATTATCTCATTAACTTTAACACTTATATCTGCATCATATCTCCATCTGAAAGCAGGTGAAGGTGATTTACTACTAATCAAGGAACCGGCTTTACTGATTAGATGCGCATAACAATATCGTGCGATATACAGAAGGGTGTTGAATAAAACATATTTTTAAGAAATCTACAGTATGGGTTTCTGTTAGTTAGTTAGTTAGTTAGTTAGTTAGTTAGTTAGTTAGTTGTGCTGTGGAATTCTTCTCAAATAATTAGAATGATTATTAAATTATTAAAACTGCAGTTATCATTGATGTGAGGGGGCCTCAAGAAAAGACAATGACAAGATGACACCAACATACTTAAACACTAACTGTGACTATCAATTAGGATTTTGCGATTCTGCGCCATAGCATGAGGGGAAAACGATATTATGTAGGCTAATAAAATTCCTTACATAAACTCCGAGTCCAAACAGAAGATCAATCCATGCTTACGTCACATGTCCTGCTGCTGCACTGCAGTGAATTCTTCCGTTGTAAAGTGAGAATGAATGAGTAAGGGGAGGCTGCAGACCTGTAGCCGGTATACGCCCCTGTTGTTCCTGATGCGTCCAGTAGGGAGAGACTGTGCATTAGTATATGAGCCTAGTCCTATATCATGATTCATAACAGACCTTATAGCATCAGACCTTTTAGAAGTTACACGAATTGAGGTATTTTAAATAATCTGCTAAAGTTATTGTTGTTGATTGTATTGTAACAATGCAATATTTAATTTTTATAAATAATTAGCTAAGATTCAATATCAATTCAAAAGATAGGTCTATTTATTTATTAATCTATTTCCAGAGACAACAAAAGAAGGCTACTTGCACTAGGAATAAACAACTCTACAAACAGCATTACCAGCTTCAATTATTACTAACCAGACTGACTTTATTTCTGTCAGATGTCTACAAATTATTGAGAATTAACAGAGGTTTAACTCTTGTGTTTTATTTGAAGTCAACATAACAGTGATGAGAGTTTCCATTAACCGAGCTCTTAACTCCTATTGTATATATAGTTATTTTTTGCTCCTTTGACAGTGTGTTTGTCAAACACATTTGTATCAGCAAGAAAGATAATGTGAAATGAGATCAGGTGTTGACAGTTACCTGTTGATGGATTTATAATCGTAATGAAATAGACTGTCTGTTCAACAAATTATAGTTATCTACTATGGCTACTGATTCTTAAAGGGGTAGTTCAGAATTTTGGACATTGGGCTTCATTTCCAAGTTAGCCTTAGTGTTAGTTATCAGTGGAGACAGTTTTAAAAAAATTTCATCCTGTCGTCCCAGTTGCATAGTTTGCAGGTCCTAGGCAAGCGCGAGTCAACAACGGTAACCTAGCATGACATTAAAAACCACTCCACAGTACACCAAAAGCAAATACATTATAACGCCGGACTATCGATGTAAGTGTCTGTTGAGATAATAATGTTAGAAATCAAACTATCCTTTTGTCACGGGGTATGGTGCAGGAGAACAGGAGTGCAGGCGGAAGGAATAGAAGGAGTCCAGATTCACACGGAAGGTAACATTTAATTCAGAATATAGGCAAGGAGACAGGGTAACACGGGGTAACATTCGACATCGACCGACAAACACTGACTAAAACAGAGGGAACTAAATACACAGAATAATCAAACATAATGGGGTGAGAACAGGTGAAACAGATGATGATGACGAGAAACAGGTGGCTGATGAGGGAGTGAACACGGGATAGGGTGACGAGAGGATCCTGGGAAGTGTAGTGCTGCTGACGGGACAAACAGGTGAAGACGCAGACTGTGACACCTTTCATTGCATTGGTTTACCTATGTGTATTAGCACAGTCTACAGCAGCGGCAGAGTGATATGAAGTTACCTAGGCAACCGAGAGAGCAGGCCCACACGACAATCACGCAAATGTATTTATTTACCTGCCGCTTACACTCATCACTACAGAAACAAAGTATAATTTATGATGTGTTATGAGCGTTTGTGAAAAGACGTGAGAGTGCAAGCACTCTCTCTCTCTCTCTCTGTCTCTGCCATAGACTGTAAGGTCTCTGCTCATTACGCACCCAGTCAAGCGCAGCAGTCTCTATTCTATATCACTGCCTGTTGGTGGCTTTGGTGGGACAGATATTTGCAGTAATCAGTAACAGCTGATTATCAGTGAATCCCAGTTGTCTCCGACGGAAGTTTATAAAACTGTCCCAAATGATCACTACAGAAGCGGGTGTTGGCGGTGATCCACAGTTCTCCATGGCATCAATAAGGTTGGCTCTTCACAAAATTAATCCACCTCTTCTTTATGTGTGCGTTTTAGGAAATTTAAATAACGACAGCGATCGTTTTGTACATTAGTTTGATTATAGTTTACACAAGTTTTTTTTTTTTTACCATCAGCATAAAAAAAAGTGCATGTCCATCAACAAACCGAATATTTTACTCGTACTAATTTATTTACAGACTATTTTTCCAATATATTGCGATGAATACATGGAAACTGTATCAATAACAGTGCATGTATGCAGTGTACATTAGCCGAGCTCTACATGATCTGATGTAACATGAACGTTGGTAAAACAAATATTTCCTCAAAGTAGTGAGAATAACAGATAATCCGCATCAATAGACACAGTTTTAGGTAATAGTGGCCCACAGCTGACCAGCAGAAGTATTTCAGTAATACAGTAATAATGTGAGTTAGTCAATTAGCAGGACACCTACACAATATAAACTCAAAACTAAGTATTTTGAACACCATCTTTCAAGAGCGAGTTCCTGCATTGGACTCTGAGATTTGAGAAGCAGTCGTCATTAAAATGAAGTCAACACTCAAAAGTTTAGGATTATACTGCTGTGATATCATGGTAAGTGTGAACTTTAACCACCACTGATTCTTCACATGCCCGTCCTTGGGCAGTGAAAAACATAACTGGCTTTAGGCTACCTTCACATTATAGATCACAGCACATCTTCTCAACATGATTTTGTCCAGTATCCACAGGAGGAATCAGCTGCAGGTTTGAGGTTCAAGTTTTCCCTGGTGTCTGCGCGTGCAATACGTTGGCGGGCAATATGCTAATATTTCGTCTTGACGAAACGGCTCATGACTCGTTTAAAAAAAGGATTCCTTTCATTGACTCAGAGTCGACTCTTACTTTTGAAAGATAATAACTTAATATACGGTGCACTTTCAGATTTAAAACTTTGCAGGATGTTTTTGTTCACTTAGAGCTATGTGACACACTACATGAAAGGTCATTTTCAAAAATCCATAAGAGGGGCCCTTTAATATTTTTACATCTGCTACCTTTTTAAAGTGTAATGTAAATATTATTTTGTATATATTTGTTAAGAAGAAGCCTACGGAGGCGTATTGCATTTACTTGAAGAAAAAAAATCTACTCTGTGTTTCTGAATTAACAAGTTAATTTTTCATGAGAAAAAAATTGCTCTGTTTTTCTGAATTAATGAGTTAATTTTTCATGAGAAATTTTTTTGCTCCGTTTTTCTGAATTAATGAGTACATTTTTCGTGAGAAAAAAGTTTTTGCTCTGTTTTTCTGAATTAATGAGTTAATTTTTCATGAGAAAAAAATTTTTGCTCTGTTTTTCTCAATTAATGAGTTAATTTTTCGTGAGAAAAAAGTTTTTGCTCTGTTTTTCTGAATTAACAAGTTAATTCAGAAAAACAGAGCAAAAAAAAAATGTAAAAATCCATGAAAAATTAACTCGTTAATTCAGAAAAACAGAGGAAAATGTTTTTTTCTCATGAAAAATTAACTCATTAATTCAGAAAAACAGAGCAAAATTTTTTTTTTCTCATGAAAAAATTCACTAATTAATTCAGAAAAACACAGCAAAAAAATCCATGAAAAATTAACTCGTTAATTCAGAAAAACAGAGCAAAAACTTTTTTTCTCATGAAAAATTAACTCATTAATTCAGAAAAACAGAGCAATTTTTTTCTCATGAAAAATTAACTTGTTAATTCAGAAAAACAGAGTAGATTTTTTTTTCTTCAAGTGAATGCAATACACCTCCGTAGAAGCCATACTTATTTTCCAAACATTTTAGATACATCAATTATAAATGTGTTGTTTCATGTCATGTTGTTGTTGTTTTTTAGGCCACACATCGAAAATGGAACCAAATCCTATTTTAAACCTAATCTTACTGGGGAAAAAGGGAGCTGGGAAGAGTTCATCAGGGAGAACAATACTGGGACAACACGCTTTCAACCCAGAGAAAGTTTCCAGTCCTGTTGCTGTAGAATCTGGGACTTTTGAGGATACGGATATCACTGTTTATGACACTCCAGGATTAATTGACACAGACCTGACTGAAGATAAGATTGAAAAAACACTTGATCAGGTTCAGCAGAATTGTAAATCTGGTCTCTGTGCGTTTCTGCTGGTCATCAAAGCTGACAGATTCACTGAAGAAGAGAGAAAATTTGTGGAGAAGATTGAGGAGGTGTTAGGAGAAGAACGCTTGGTAAAAACCTGGATTCTCTTCACTGGAGGAGATCAACTTGAACTCAAAAACATGACCATAAAAGAATTCATTGATGAGTCTAAATTACTGAAGAAACATCTTCAGAAATACGACCAGAGATACCATGTGTTCAGCAACAAGAAAAAAGGACATGCTGAAATACAAGTTAAAATGCTCCTCAGAAAAATATTTCGCACATGGTGGTTAAAAAGTGAGTCTTCTTGATTTCGATTTTATTTAAAGGGGACCATGTGTAATTAATGACATAAATGTAAACATTTGATGCATTACACCAGAGTTAGCCTTAGGCTAATTTACATCTGCAATCTTAAAATCAAATGTTGAGCTGAGCTGTGCATCCTTGATAAACTCTACTTCAGCTAAGCTTTGTAACACTTTTAAGTGCTCAGCTACGTTGTTTAAAAAAAAATAAAAAATAAATAACTGAACATTGTCACATTGTAAAATGTGCATATGTGTGATATGTAATGCCTAATGTTAATGCGCTAATGCACATAAATCATTTTAAAAATGTGTTGCTGCTTAATAAGGCCAATTTATACTTCTGCGTAGGGTGCGCGCGGTGTACGGCGTCCCATACCACGTACCCTTCGCTGTAGCCTGACGCGCACCTCCTCAAAAATGTAACTACACGACGCAACGACGCGGACCGCAAGATCGGTGATTGGTCGGCTTGGTAGCATCGCATTTCCTCCTACGCATTTCCGCACATACCTTCTCACGCATTTCCACACGTACCATCTCCTCCGACGTCTTCTCTCATTTCTGCTTTTCAGTTTTAGTAATTCCACTAAAATTAACTGTTTTTCCACCTCAATAAGCTCCAACTCCAACATGATCAGCTCTCTTTCAGTCGATATTGCTTGTAGTAACCTAGCCGCGAGGAATCTAAACACAGTGGAACATTAAAACCCTCCGCCGCCAACTAGCGTTTCGGAGCAGTACTGCAGAGCAACCAAGACCTGAACGCAGAAGTATAAATGCTCACAACGCCTACGTGCGTAGCCAACGCCGTACACTACGGCGTACCCTCGACGCAGAAGTATAAATTGGCCTTTAATATCAGCAACACATTTACCTCATCATATTTGAATGGTTTCAGCTGAGTTGTTTCTAAATGTATTCACACTTACATCTGTTTTGTATTTTATACAGCACCAGACGGAGAAAAACTAACCAGACGCATCGGACCAAATGCTCTTGATAAACTACAGGTGTCTGCTGACAGTCTCTTATCCAGACGGATTGTTCTTCTGGGTAAAACTGGTGTTGGGAAGAGTGCAGCTGGAAACACAATACTGGGAAAGCGAGAGTTTAACTCTGAAATGTGTACTAGTTCTGTAACTAGGGAATGTTTAGTGAAACAAGCCACTGTTTCAGGCAGATCTGTGTCTGTAGTTGATACTCCTGGATTCTTTGACACACAGATGAGACATGAAGAGTTAGCTAAAGAGATAGCGAGAAGTGTTTATATATCCAGTCCTGGACCGCACGCTGTTCTCGTTGTTCTCAGAGTAGATGACAGATTCACTGAACATGAGCAGCAGATTCCTCAGATGATTGAGATGATGTTTGGTGAAGAAGTGTTAAAATACTCCATCATTCTCTTTACTCGTGGAGATCAGCTGAGAGGAAAGTCTGTAGAGGAACTCATTCAAAAGAGCTGTACTTTAAGACATCTAGTTCAAGAGTGTGGAGGCAGATTTCATGTCTTCAACAATGAAGATGAGAATAACAGAGATCAGGTGAATGATCTACTGAAGAAGATTGACACAATGATAGAGCAGAATGGAGGAGGACACTACAGTAATCAGATGTATGAAGATGCTGAGAGATTCAGACAAGAGGAAGAGGAGAGGAGACAGAGAGGGAAAGAGTGTAAAGAGACTGGATTTGATAAATTTCACGCGAAGTATGAGCAAACATTCAGTCACTCATCTAAGGGATTAACTCTTGGAGGTATAATAGGTGGAATAGTGGGATCAGTGGCTGGCCCTATTGGTGCACTTGTTGGTGCAGCTGTTGGTGCAGGTATTGGTGGATTAGTTGATCTATTTAGTTGAAAAAGTAAATAGATTAAATTAGATTTATCTACCAAGGGGAAATTTAGATGTTACAAAATGGATATACACTACAATATATACCACTATAAATACTAGCATGCACTAAAAAAGTATTGCAATTAAGAAAAAAAAACAAACATTATTACAGATTTGTATTCTGATGATAATTATTCTGAAATCTGAGAAACCCCATGACCTGTACCCCCCAATGCAACCAGCACAGCCTTGAAGAAGATTTTATAAGCTGGTTCAGTGGCTAATTGTTTGGAGTTAGAAATATATAACTCGCGCTGCATATTTAGTCATTTTGCGTAGATCGTAGAGCATGTAGTTCATTAAAGAGTTAACGTTGTTGATGCGCTCGGACCCGAGTTCGAATCCGCCTTTTGCCGAACATATGAGATGTAAAATGTATAAACTAACATGAAGGTCTCTAGTGTCATATTTTGCCAATGAACTAAAAAACTAAACCATGATATTGCTTTTTGCCTTCATAAAACAGCACAAGACTTTAAGAATAGGCATTCTGTTTGTGCTGGGTGTTTTAGAGAAACGTGTGCACTTTGCTCACGCGAATACGGAGCAGTTTTTCCTGTGAGTGAGACTGGAAAACCCGTAGTGGATATAATCAGAGTGATAACAGAACGCTAGATTACAGAGAGGAATTGGCTTTTACTCCAGTCCTGGTTTTGCGTCCGCGCTGTTAGGAGCACAACATCTGTCTCATATGCACGATCGCTCTAGACTAGATTAGAGGATATTTTAACTAATTTGCGGTAAAACTAGTCAATCACGATTGGGGGTGCTGCACTTCTAGTTACTGCTGCTCATTTCTCCCGAAAATATCATGTTAACAACAACCCTTTCGAAAACATACTTCCTTTGTGGATCCTCTTGATCTGCTTTCTCCATGTTTCTTTGACTAATCTCTTTGTCTCAGTCTCACGCATGCTGCAGTTCGACACATTTAACTGGAAGTGGCCGTCACTGTTTTATCCATTGTAGGCACCGCTCACGTTGTGTTTTCGGCTTTGGAAATGGAAAGAACACAACTCCTCCAGACAATCTCTCGGGGTACCAGTGTCCGACTTACAAACGCCGTGGGCGCATCGCTTCACCATCTAGCTTTCCTGCCTAAAATTCATAAACATTATGTTTCAGCTAATTTGACAGTAATGTTCAAGGATAGTAGCTACTAGTGCAATACTCAGGCGCCTTCATGTGCAGCATGGACATGAAGCTGTCATGGCAAACAATGCACGCAGAATTCCTTTATGGGATGTAAAGGATGTATGTAATAGGAAGTGTAAGCTTCATTTGTATTAGCATTAGTACATAATGAGACATAAGTTACACTATAAGCATGCAGAGACAGAAGCTGATGAGTATACATTCATCAATAAAATGTTGGCTTTAATGTAATTATATTCACTTGATTAAGTGCAGCTATGTCTCATATTATCCACCCTTGAGTAGGCTAGTTGCAGTTTTTGCACATAATGGTTTGAATACAACATCACCGTATGGCAAAGTATACCAAAACATGTTGAAACGCAACTTTGAAATTGAATGGCACTGGACATACACAATAATGAGAAATGGAAGCGATGGATCTGTTGGGTTTTTTTATGCTGCAATAAGTGATGTGAATAATTTGTTTAAAAATAAACAAATAAATAAACAAGGTAGAAAATAAAAACTGTTCTGTTTTTTTTTTTTTTTTTTTTACCGGTTCTTTGAAACGATCTGTCCAGAGCCAGCCATGTATTCAGAGAGTTCTGACATTCCCGTAGACCGCCATTGTAACTCAGGAATGCGGAAGTAACGCGTGTCATGGACCCGCCCATTAGTTCCAACCACTGATAGTAGTCTATTCCCTCCTAAATCATTCATTTGTACATACACAGCGTAATTATTTATATTTTATGTTGGTTGTCATAATCCTGAATGGGCCACCACGCAGACCTCTTTGCGTGATCACGGTAGGTAATGACTAAATCGGAATTTATAAGCAAGATCACGGGAATCAATCAGCCCAGTTGTGCTAAAATAAATATCATGAGATGTCCATCATCAGATGAATGACATGGAAAAGTTAAGTTAGAGCCGCTAAAGCCAGTGCAACTACCAATGCGAGCATGAACACAAGCTATTCCCTCCAAAAATATAGCCTAGTAAAACGTATCTAAGTTGTCACCCTGCCTCTCCAAATGCAACACTGACATTAACCAAATGCAATAACAGCTTACAACGTACTTGGATGTGTGATTTATTTTAAATTTACCGTTTAATAATGCAATCGCTGTTGTCTGTCCATAGAAGAACATGACAGCCCGCGTCTGTTTTGGAACTATTGGGGCTTCCATGAACCACGTGACAGCCTTGCGGCGACATCAAAGCGTGTCGTAACTCTCTCAATGCGTTCCAAACCGCATACTTCCCTACTATTTAGTATGGGAAAAAGAGTAGTGCTGCGTCCCAATTCGCCTACTTACACTACGCCCTAAAAGTATGTACTCTTTTTGTGATGAAAAAGTACATACTTTTGGCAATTAAGCTTTGGGACATACTATCACGTCATCTTTAACGGACAGCTCTGTCGCGTGCTGCGTGCATCCTGTCACCGTAAACTGGCCTGTCAATCATCTTGTCACAGTTAAAATCCTCCATTCTATCTAATTTTATTTCCTACCGTTTCGGAGAGCACGATCATCTGCCAGTTGTGGGTCTTTCATGCTCTCCTCATGTGTTTGCAATTTGAATATAATGATGCATTTAAAACGTAATTGCTAAACGTGTCTTTACAAAAGTTCACAGTGCTGCTGCAAATGCAATATAATGTGGACAACATTTAATAAATTGATTTTCGTCAGTTTAGATAATGATAATTAATCACTCAAAGCTCTTTATCTAAACCTCTCTACACAACCGCGGGGACTCGCGCGTCCTACGTATCGACTACGTGTCTGTAGTTTTTTAACACTTTTTACTCGTGTTTGTAGTTCTAGCCGAATCCTCGTCCAACGCGCAATGGTTTGTGGGCAATATCAGCCGTTAGAGTGTGCATCGATCTACACTTCGGATTCTGACCGGAAAAAGTAGACCATCCGGGTATCTTTGAAACACTCATTTCAACATACTACGGTTTGGGACGTACTAAATCTATTTTCGAATACTATTTAGGACGGATAGTAACGCGAATTGGGACGCAGGGTAGGTGAGCAAAAAAGTATGAATGAATCCAAAAGAGTAGGCGAGAATTACCTGGGTGACGTAGTAATTGTCGCGAGATTCGGACTTAAGTGCGTTCCAATATGCATACTTTCATACTATATATTAGGCGAAAACAGTACGTGAAGGAAGCAGTACGTTCGAAACATCAGTTCCCTTTCGTAGTCACTTCGAGTTACGTCAGAAGTGACGGAGATTGGGGGATTTCGCATAGAAAGCCAATCCTCTTCGAGTATTAAAACACGAGCCAATGGCATGCAATGCCTTGGGGCTGCGGAAATTTGCATAGCGTACTCCGCCCTACTCCGTGAGTATAAAAGGAGGAAGTGAACGCAACCGCAGTATGTTTTTCGCTTCGGAGCCAAGAGAACCTCTTCACTCCTAAAAGCTGATTCAAGACTCTTCGAGAACGAGCGTCCTCTTCAGTGTTGGTGTGACGGCGGTACCCAGCGAGATTTTGCATTGCCTGCGATCTGAGCAGTGGTCTGCCAGACTTTGCACTTCTCCCTGGTAGCTTCAGCGCTGAAAGAGTGAATTTCTCCTTTCTCTAAAAGTGAAAGTGAAAGAGCTGCACGCGGCACGTCTTTTTAAAGATGGTTCGCCCGTGCCCTTCTGGATGTGGTAGATTTCTGTCATCATCTGATGGTCACGAACGCTGCTTTGTATGCCTGGGCATTCAGCATGCAGCAGCAGCGTTCGTGGATGACTCATGTTCCTTCTGTGGGAGCATGACCATCTCCACACTGAGGTCGAGGCTCAATGATCTCACTAGAGTGAGAGCCCCGGTCCCCCCTACTCGATCGGCTTCCTTCACGAAAGGGGGCCCGTCGACCCGGGGACCCGGCGATCTAACGGTGACGGTGTGGGATAGAGCCCCGACGATTCCTCGGGCCACACCTCCCGCCTCAGTGCGTGAGCCAGCGAGCGCCAGCTCGATTCAGTCGGCTGTCTCTTCGGCGGCGCCGGCTGCTTCTAGCAGCGCTCCAGATGATGATGTGATGTCTATCACTGCATCACTAGGCGGGCTTGAGTCCTCGGGAGAGGAAGATGCGGCTGCGTTGCCTCCTTCGGGAGTGCCAGCGTTGCCCGTGTCAGATCCCGAGCTGACGGCCATGCTGTCTCGAGCCGCTGGGAGTATCGGGCTAGAATGGAAACCTCCATCCTGCCCCGATCTCTCGCGGATGGATAACTGGTATCTGGACAAAGCTGCCGCCGCAAGGCCACGGCCAACTCCGATACCTTTTTTCCCCGAGCTGCATGCGGAGTTATCGCGCTCTTGGGGGGCTCCTTTGTCCACTCGAGAGCGCGATCTCTCCCCCGCCTTTCCCCCCTCGACGGTGGGGCCGCCCGTGGGTACACTGGGATGCCCCCGGTGGAGCGCTCTGTTGCGATGCAGCTGTGTCCACAGAGCGCCTCCACCCGTGGTCCTCCTAAGCACCCATCCAAAGCCTGTGGGTTCTCGTCTGCTATGGCGGCGCGAGCCTATAGAGCGGCGGGACAGGCGGCCTCCGCTTTGCATGCCATGAGCACTTTGCAGGTCTTCCAAGCGAAGGTGCTCAGAGACATGCACGAGGGCGGGACTGACTCGACGGCATTTAAGGAATTGCGGTCCGCCACTGACCTTGCTCTCCGGGCAACGAAAGTGGCCGCTCGCGCCGTCGGTCAGGTGATGGCCACTTCGGTGGTTCAGGAGCGCCATCTCTGGCTCAACCTGGCAGATACGCGGAGCGCTGAGCGGACTCGTCTGCTCGACGCTCCGCTCTCCCAGGTTGGCCTTTTCGGCGGTGCGGTCGAGGACTTCGCCCAGCAGTTCTCCACCGCTCAGAAGCAGACGGAGGCCATCAAACACATCCTGCCCCGGCGACCAGCTGCTGCCTCCACCCAGTCATCGGCGCAGGTGCCTCCCTCTGCTCGCCGCCGAGGACGCCCCCCTGCGGCTCCCCTCCCTCCCGCCCGGCCCCAGCAGCAGCCTTCACCCGGGCCCCGGCGTCGAGGAGGCCGCAGGCCGGCGTCACAGCCCCCTCAGGCCGCTCGCCCCGCTAAACGCCAGGCCAAGCGAAGATCCTGACACGGGCCGCTCAGTGACGATCTCGAGTCTTTCCCAGGAGGCGGTAGCAGGCCCCCTCCTTCCCCGGTGGAGGGCCGGGGGAGAATCTTTTGTTCTCAGCTCCCCGCTGCTCACCCACGGGTGGGCAGCACCCTGAACTGGTTAAAGAAAGACTTGACATCCTCACTGAGCTCACAGACTGGAGTGGGTGCGCTCGATGCCCCCGTGCGTCAGCCCACACACTCCTCTCTGTCTCTGAGGGCGCGGAAGGGTGCGTGTGTCGTCCCAGGGCTACACCAATCCCTTCCCCCTCTGTCGCCAGACCCCCGGCAGAACAGACCCCCGTGGAACGCTCCGCTTTCCCTGGTCCCTTCTGTCGGGGAGCGGGCTTCGACGCATCCGAGCGGGGTAACTCCTGCACGCGTGCCAGTCGACCCGCACCGCTGCCCCTCCGGGGGGACGTCTGTGGTTCGCATGACCCCGTTGGCTCATTTCCTGGAAGCCTGGCTAGCGCTTCCTGGGATATCCCGCTGGGTCATCAGAACGATCAGACTCGGCTACGCGATTCAGTTCGCACGGTCTCCTCCCCGCTTCACGGGAGTTCGCTCCACGATGGTCGGTGGCAATGCCCCAGTCTTGAGAGCGGAGATTGCGACCCTGCTGGCGAAGGGTGCAATCGAGACGGTCCCTCCAGCCGAGGTGAGGTCCGGGTTTTACAGCCCCTACTTCATTGTCCCCAAAAAGACCGGTGGGTTACGACCGATCCTGGACCTGCGCATTTTGAACCGTTCTCTCCATCGACTACCGTTCAAAATGCTCACGGCCAAACGCATTTTCGAATGTGTTCGGTATCAGGATTGGTTTGCAGCGATCGACCTGAAGGACGCGTACTTCCATGTGTCCATTTTACCTCGACACAGACCGTTTCTTCGGTTTGCCTTCGAGGGCCAGGCATATCAGTACGCCGTTCTCCCATTCGGGTTAGCTCTGTCCCCTCGCGTCTTCACGAAGATCGTCGAGGCAGCCCTTGTTCCCCTTCGCGAACACGGGGTTCGCATCCTGAACTATCTCGACGACTGGCTGATACTAGCACACTCTCGAGCTCAGCTTTGCGAACACAGAGACCTGGTGCTCCGGCACCTAGCCCGTCTGGGCCTTCGGGTCAACCGGGAGAAGAGCAAACTTTGCCCCGTGCAGAGGATCTCTTTTCTCGGCGTGGAGATAGACTCGGTCGCCATGTCCGCGCAGCTCACGAACGAGCGCGCGCACTCACTGCTGACTTGTCTTCGACAGTTCGAGGGCAAGAGTGCGGTTCCACTGAAACTATTTCAGAGGCTCCTGGGGCATATGGCATCCGCGGCCGCGGCAACGCCGCTCGGTTTGCTTCATATGAGACCGCTTCAGCTGTGGCTTCGCGATCGAGTCCCGAGGTGGGCATGGCAT